AGGGGAAGCGCCGCTGCGGAGCTGCCTGTGGGTGGGGGGCTCTCACGGAGGGAAGCAGCTGCTCAGCCCTGGGGGTCCCAGGCCCGGCCATGGCAACAGGGTGGGCACTGCAGGGCAACGTCTCAGGCTGAGAAAGCAATTGGCCACAACTCCAGCCCTCCCGGTGCCCCCAGGGAAGCCTGGCTCAGCCCCTGTGCGGGGGCTTCCTGAGTCCTGCACCCCGAGTGAGCACAGCACGGGAGGGTGGAGGTTGTGATGGCGATGGTGGTGACAGTGTTGACAATGACAAAACTGTTGGTGACGGTGATGGCAGCTGACTCACAGAGGCCTTACTGGGGCTTGTGCTGTACTAAGTATCTCATGTTTATTAACTTATTTCATCTCCAGTACAAGCCTACATGACAGGCACCCTTATTATTCCTGCTTTACAGATGAGGACACTAAGGCAGAGGGGAGATGGCAGTCTCCCCAGGGTCCTGGCAGGATGCCAGCAGTCTGGCCTCAGAGTTTATTTGCCTGCCCAGCTCTCTGCAGTCCCTCCAGTGGAGTCCCGCCAGGTTCTGTCCTGGCCAGTCCTTTGAGATATGGCCTCAGGGGATGGGGCCCTAGATCCTCCTGGTAACCCTCCGGGCAGGGACCGAACTCCAGACCAGCCCCTGCAGGGCGGCCAGACAGGACCAAGTCAGCCTTGCAGACCCACGCTGCCCTCCAAGGGCTTCCAGGCTGGAGCCAAAGAACGCGAACGCTGCCCAAAGGATCGGTGGCCTGCTGGAAGGTCAAGGGTTCCTGGGCTCAGCATTTGCAAAGATTGCCTCAAGCCCCTGCCTCAGAGAACATGACAGTGGACAAGGAGTGTGTGTCCCTGCCAGACACCTTGGAGGAGGCTGGTGTGCTCCTGCGCCCGCCCACTCTGTCCAGGCTTCTAGAATGAGAGAGGATCGCCTGCTGGAATCGGAGCAGGCGTCATTATTAAAGGCGTCCTGTCGCCTGCCTTCCACAGCTGCTGTGGGCTTGAGGCTTGCCACGAGGCGGCCTGGGTCCCAGCCTCAAGGCCCATCCCCACCTCTGGCTCTGGGCAGCAGCTCTGGAGAAATCTGTGCTCTCTGACTCATGGCTGTGGCCTCCACCTTGACCCCCTTTGATCCACCTCAGAAGCACCTCACTGTGCTGCATGAGACCCCAGTGAGCTCCAGTAAGATCAAGCAAGCCCAGGTGTGTTGGAGGTTGGGGGAACGACCAGCTGGCTGGCCAGGCAATTCTGGAGCAGGCTGGACACAGGCCAGGCTGTGGCTGCACGTCAGTCATGGGGAAGGCCCCTGTAAGCCTCATCTCGTGGAAGAGACCCACAGAGGCTGAGCACCTGCTCAGCACCGTCCTTCCCAAGTCTCAGTGACTACACAGCGCAGGAGTGCTGGGCAGGTCCAGGTCCGGCAGTCAGGGGGGCCTGCTGAGCTCAGAGCTGGGCGAGTGACCTGAAAGACGAGGGGCGGGCATGGAGCTGGTGACGGCAGTGAGCCAGGCTGCTGGGGACCGCAAATCCCAGAGCTCCTCCAAGGACTGCAGGGGAGGCAGACCCTGAGGGGAGGTGGCCTACAGGGTTCCCGCCTTCCCCCCTGCTGTCTCAGGGAACATGGAGGCCGAGCTGCCTGTGCCTCCCCCAACTGTACCCCTTGAGTCCACCCATCCTATTCCTGGTCAACCACCCCCAGCCCCCGCGGAAGCTTAGGGCAGTCTCCTGTCCCCTTAGCCTCCCCCGTCTGACCGGCTGGGCTGCCCGAGCTGGGCGTGTCCTAGACTTTGCTCCGGCTGTGCCCGCAGCCGGGGAACGAAGGCTCTAGGGCGTTTTCTTTGGACCAAGTCTCTTGAAGACAATGTCTGAAGATCTCGGAGGTGTCTCTCTTTCCACTCGGGGCCTTTCTGCCCCAGCTAGGGACGCACTCCTGAAGCTCCTCTCCAGCCCAGCCAGGCAGCTCAATGTCCTCTCACTGTGGGCAGCGCCGGCCCCACTACCCAGGGCCCTTTCCAGGACTGGGCAGAACTCACTGAGCAGCACAAGCAGGTGGCCCCTGGGGAGATGCTCAGAGCAGCAAGCCTGGGACAGCCCCCAACCCTGAATACAGGGTCAGACAGGAGGGGACGCCTGGGCCAGTAAGGCCCCCAAGGACATCTGCATTTTAATCAGGGACTCTGGAAACTCCCATGGCTTTCTTAAACAAGAAGGTTGGAGCAGGCAGGAAGCCTGTGGGGAGCAAGTCGGGCAGGCGGGGGGTCGGGGGGAGCTGCTGGGGTGGGTCCTGAACAGCCACCATTTAAGTTGCAAAAATGGTCTCCCTGTCTGCAGATGGTCTTTTTTATACCTTACCTAGTGGAGAGCAGGTTTTAAAAACAGCTTCCAAGTTCACTTAAAAATACACAGCACATAGCACAGGCCAGAGGGGCAGAGGCAGAGGGAAGGAGGGCAGGAGGTGCCAGGGACCAGCCATGCCCCTCACTGCCCTCTTCCCCTCTTGTGCTAGACCTGCCAGCTGTGGGGTGCATCCATCCGGCCCTCTGTGTCCCAGACCCTCTTCCCCCCTCCTGCCCTCCACCACCCAGCCTGGGTCCCACCCAAAGCCCAGCAAGTCCACAAGTGTGTCCCTCTGCCCCCCCAAATTGTACCTCCTGCTGGCGTAGGGAGTCACCAGGAGCCCCAAGCACACACAGACACCCTGCAGGGACTCCTGACTCCCCCCACCTGCACCTTGGAAGCCCTTGCTTTTGCCCACCTGGTGGCTTCCAGGTGGGGCTGTGGTGGATGCTGGTGCTCCCCGACAGTTCCTTGTGCACTCTTGCTGGACCCTCTTACCCACATATAGCCCCCTGTGCATTAGCCTCACCCCATGCTGACCCCCACCAGCCTGAAAGCTGATTCACCCCGCCCTGGCCATCCCCAGTGCCCAGGAAGGGCAGTGCCCAGCAGACCTCTCCAGCAGGCAGGGAGAAGAGCCAAGCAGGTGGGTAGCCTTGGGAGGCCACTGAGCCCAACACGGGTCAGGGTGGCGAGGGGGTCCCTGCTGCCTGGCATGTCTCCTCCCAAGTCAGCCCCGCTCTGGAGGAGGCAGACTCCAAGGCCTGTGGGCAGGACAGCGGGCAGGCTGCTCTGCAGGCCTGGAGGCCAGTGGGGAGGGGCTGGTTGACCCCGGGCAGTGGGGTGCCTCGAAGTGCCTGAAGGTGCAGGAGGGGCTTGGTGTTGGATGGAGCCCCAGTCCACGCAGCGGAGGATGGGTGCCGGCTGGGCCCCCAGGCCTCCTCTGGGACTGCCCCCGGCCAGACCCCTGGCTCATTCGTCCTCGGCCCCCACCCCTGTACTACCGGGGACGGTCAGGTGCCCCAGGCCCCGCGGGCTCCCTCACTCCGCCGGGCTCCTCTCCGCGGCTCCTCCTGCCGCGCGGCCGGTGGAGGGCGAGGTCGAGCGGCGCCAGGGCCCGACTGTCCCCGGCCGGCCGCCGGGATGGTGGTCCTCCCTTTCCAGGCTGGGAGGAGCCTGGGCGGCGCTGGGTCGCCCCGATAACTCCGCGGTTCCCGCCCCGCCTCCCGGCCCCGTCAGGCGCGGCCAGCCCGGCTCAGAAGCCCGGCCCGGGGCCAAGGTCACCGCCACAGGCCGGGCCCTGCGTTCTGAGCCGGGTGCGGACGCGCCGATGCTGGGGAAGGAAGTCGGGGGCTCTGACGACTGCGGGGTCCCGGCCGAGGGTCCGGCGCCGTCACCCCCACTCGTCGCCCGCGGGGAGCCCCTGCCCCTGGGGAAGGAGGCTGTTTCCTTTGTAAACTGGCAGAGGCTCTGCCACCCGAAGGGGCGCTCCCGACAGAGACCTCAGGACAGTCACCCTCCCGGGCCCCGGCGCCGGCCACCCCCGGGCGCGCAGACTGGCCCTGAACCCCCGAGAGGCGCCGAGCCCAGTGGGAGGACCCGCTGTCCCGACCCCACGCGGCGAGGGCGACACTAGGCCGCTGCCCCGGGCGCCCCGCGTCTCCTCGCCCGGCCCCGCCGGCTTCCTGCGCGCGCCGCCCGGGACTTCCTCTCCGCAGAGCCCGGGGCCACCAGAGCCCTGCGCGGGGCGCTGCCGGGACACGCGGGCGGCCGACCCCAGGCGGGGGCACCCGGGCCACGGGGGAGGGAGGGGGGGAGGGAGGGAGTGCGCCGGGCAGGGCCGCGGGGAGGGGCCCGGGGCTGGCGCGGGAGGGGGAGGGGCCGGGCGGCCCAGGCCGGGGAGCTGGGGACGCGGTCCCGGGGCTGCCGCCAGGACGGGGTCCCTCGCCGCCCCCGCGCTCGTGGCTCTCGGGTCCTCCCATGCCAGGGGCCGCCCCCGGCCGGCGTGTCCGCGAGCCCGGGCGCAGCCCCCTCCCCAGCGCGGGGTCCGCAGCGCGCGTCCGGCCCAGCTCTGCGTGCGGGCGCAGCTCTCCCGGGACGCGGCGGCGGCGGCGGCGGGCGGGGTCCCCGGGAGCCAAGCCCGCGGCCGCGCGCCCCCGGCCCGGCTCGGCGGTGGCGGCCGCCCCAGCGGAGCTTTGTGACGTCAGGCGGCCGCGGGGCGGCGTCACGCGCGGGGCTGACCCGGCGGCGGCGGCGGCAGCGGGGCGGGGGCGGCCTGGGACGCGGCGGGAGCATGGAGCCGCGCGCCGGCTGCCGGCTGCCCGTGCGGGTGGAGCAGGTCGTCAACGGCGCGCTGGTGGTCACCGTGAGCTGCGGCGAGCGCAGCTTCGCCGGGATCCTGCTGGACTGCACGAAGAAGTGAGCGGGGGCGCGGGCCGGGACGCCCCGGGTCTCCCCGGACACCCCGCCGCCGCCCGAGACTCCAGAGCCGGCTACGGGGAGGGCGGTGCGGCCCCGGCGCCCGCTTTCGGTTTCTGCCGAGCTCGGTTTCGGGGCGCGCGAGCGCGGCCGCCGCCGGGGGGGGGGGGGGAAAGTGGCTCTCAAAGTCGTCGCGACTTTCCGGGGCGGGAGCGCGGGCGGACGGCGGGGGGCGCGGGGCGGGGGTCCCGGAACTCCACGCGTCTGCTGTAATTAACGCACTTTTCTTTGTTCAGACACACTGTTGAATTCCGCTGTCGGCAGAATTGTCGTTGAAGGGGGGAGGGTCGGGCGCGCCGTGGCCCGGCCCCGCAGTCGCTCACAGGTGGGGGTGCCCCGTCCGAGGCCGCGGGCCCGGGGCTGCCGGCAGCGACTCCGCGGCCGAGGTCCGGACTGGGGAGAGCAGTTGCGCGCAGCTGTGCGGTGGAAGAACAGTTTCAGGCCACGGAGCCCTGAGTCACGGGGGCATGAAGACGCGCAAGTTGTGGGAGCCGCGCGTGCATCCCCCGGGAGCCCCGCTTCCTGGGTGGGGGCGCCGGGCAGGGCGGGCAGCCCCTCCGGAGAGGCACCTGTGCGGGGCTGCAGGGACCCAGGCCGAGCAGATGAGCCTCCTGGACGCGGAGTCACATGACAGGGAGCTGCCGCCGCCAGATAAATGATTAGGCATTAATCAGGCTGTGGCCTTGCTGCTCTCCTGCACGGCTTTATTTTGAAACTGGGAGCCGGAAAAGGCTCCTCGTTTAAAGGCCCAACTTTTTCCCTCAGTGGAGCCCAGATTTTCACCCGGTGACATGAATTAGCTGGGAGGACCATGTTCCTGCCACAATTATTTCGAAGACGTTATCTCTTCATTAGATGTGCCAGGAGCCATTTATGCCCAAGTCATGTGATTTAACATATGGCTCCCGTGTGGCTGTGCCCGCTCCGTGTGGGCTACCGCGGCGATTGCTGGGGCAGGATGGAGCCACACTTGGGGCTGCCGATCGCCACCTGGGAGCTGCCATCCCCTCTACCGCCGGCCTGGGCTTCCTCCAGCAGGCAGGGTTGGGCTTGGTCCTGGTCCTGAGGCCGCACCCCTGCCAAACCTGCACCACCGTGTCTGGCCTTTCCTCCCTGGAGAGCAGCAGCAGCCAGGCTCGCCCCTTTCCCGGCCCGCTGACTCAGGACAGCAGAGGCCGAGAGTATCTGCAGTGGCCGCAGCTCTCCCCGAGGCCCGGGGCTAACCTGCTTTGCAGATCTGCACCACTGCCTCCCTTTTGTGGAAAAAACCAGGTCCGATGGGACCCCCGGCGTGGGAACTGGCAGCTGTAGCATGCATGGGTGTCAACCCTGCCCGCCGTGTTCAGCTGTAACCAGAGCTGCCCACGGAGCGGGGAGCCCGGCCTGTGCCGATGCAGCCACTCAGCAGCCACCCTTGGTGCCGTGGGCTGGCCCCTTTGTCCTTGTGGGGAATCTGAATGTACAGCAGGCTCCTGACCCCGGCCCTGAGGCTTGTCCTAGAAGGACCGCTGCCCCTCACCCTTCCCCGTCGTTCCCTGTGCCTGATTCTCTCTGCCGCTGCTTCGTGCTTGTATTCTGAGTCCCAGAGCTCCTGTTTCCAGGTGCCAGCTTCTCTTCAGGGCATGGTGCCCGCCCTTATCCCCTGAGTGTGACAGTGGAGGCCCAGTCCTCAAGTGTGGGTGCTGACTCAGAGAAGAGCTGCAGGGAGCCCTGTGACAGGTGTCCGCCCACCTCAGGGAACCTGTGGGTCCCAGAGCAGCGGGCATTCTGTGTATTCTGTTCAGTGCAGGCGGCGGGCAGCCAGGCACCTGCTAGGGGCAGTCCCTCGGGAACGGCGCCCCGCTCACACAGGCGCCCGGATTCGGGGTTGAGATGGGCCCGGCAGCCGGCGTCTGTTGTCGGCCCATTTGGGAGATGTCATTCTCTCCCTCGTTCACAGAGCAGAGGGGACAGGGCCCGGCAGGCCAGTGGAATTGCCTGGCCCCGTGCCGGAAGGCCATGTGATCTGAAGCAAGACTCTCGATTGTCAGGCTGTGTGTGCATCGGGGTGAGTTCACTGTCCACCTACTGTGTGCCGGGAAGTGGGTTGAGCCCGGAGCAGGCAGCCTCCGCTGGTCTTCCTTGCGGGCCAGTGTGGGGATCCTTCCACGGTTTTGATGACCCAAGCCTTACCCTGACCTGTGTTTTCTGGGTGATTTGGGGGTACGCTTCTGGTTGAGGACCCCGGGTGGGGGGACCCGACTGAGGGGTGGCCTGAGGACAGACGAAGCGCCGAGGGTGGGCTAGTCCTCTGCGCGAGGAACCCTGGACACGGCCTGTCCCGGCAGCAGGGCACACGGAGTTCCATCCTGGGCGCGCCTGTCCAGGTGGAGGCTGCACTGCCAGGGGCTGCTCTTGGGATGATTCACTCAGCAGCTGAGAGTGAGCGCTTGGGCCGGGACCACTGTGCAGGTGCTGTGGTGGTGATGGCATGTGCCCCTGCCCTTGGGGACTGAGAGGGACCTTGGCCTGGTGCATCCCCGTCCAGGGCACCAGGGGGCCTGGCCAGCATGGCCGGTCTCAGAAGCGTCTCAAGCGGGTGGCAACTGAGCGAGTGGGTGAGGAGGGCGTGAGGTGGAGGCCTGGCCTTGTGCTACTGGGGGAGCCCCCCAGGGCTTAGAGAGGGACCATGTCCGTGGCTCATACACCCTTGAGTCCAGGACACGGGAGGCCGACCATGGCCACGTGGCCCCACCTGCCCTCCCCTGGAGATCCTGGGTTGGACGGGTGCCCACAGGGTGCGGCAGGCTCCCGTTGTGGGGCTCTGGAAGAGGGGCCCCCGGTGTTTAGGCTGTGGCTTCTCCTGCCAGCCTGCTTTCCCTAACCCCTGAGAGAGCTGGCCCCAGGAGGCCCACTGTCCCCAGCAGGCCTGACCCACCCGTCCTGTTTCCCAGGTGCTGGCCTGGTCCCGCTGTGGGTGTCTGCAGGGCTGCGGGGAGACTGCTTTCTAGACCCACACTGCAGCACAGCCGAGGCAGGCCTTGGGTGCCGGCCTCGGGGTGACCCGGGCTGCTCGGGGACCGTGTTCCTGCTCCAGAGCTGCGTTTTCCTTACCTCTTTAGGCCACAACAGGGTGGCTTTTCCTTGCAGAGAGTGAGGAAGGAAGGTCTGGGGGAACGTGGGCCCGGGAGGAAGGACAGGAGGCCGTCTCTCAGCCCTGGGCTGTGGAACAGGGGAGCCAGCTGGAGGCGCTGCCAGCAAGTGCAGGGGGCTTGGGCGGGCGGCCAGGGCAGTGCCCCTCCCGGCACGGCCACAGGCAGACCTCAGGCCTGGGCCTCTTTCTGGGGGTGTGGCTCAGCCTGACACCCAGGCGAGGCCCCAGGGCAGCCATGGCTGAGTAATGACACAGCCACTGTGTCTGGCTAAGGACCTCAGGCCTGGTCTCCAGGGCCTCCTGTCCTTGCCGGGACACCGCCGTGCTATTAGGACTGGCACCGGGCTACTTTGCTTTGGGATCTGGTCCCTTCTGCAATTACAGACTCCTGGGCTTCTCACCCCTGCCTCAGTTTCCCCAGCCCTTTCTCAAAGCAGAGGTTATTTATTCTGCCCCTGAGCTCCCATGGATGCCTCTTGAGGCCTCCTTCCCAGGGCCCCTCGCACATCCTTCTCCCCACAGGTAGGGCATGCCCCCATGGTTGTGCCCAATTGGGGGCCCTGAAAGGGCAGCCCGGACCCAGCAGGCTCATCTGGCTCCAGGCCACCCAGTCTTCCCACCAGCCAAGGCTCGGTGTGGGGCACTGCCAGGCTGGTGGGGCCATCCCTAGAGGTGGGTGTGTGGGAACCACGCTGCACCCGTGCACTTCCAGAGGCACCACCCTTCAGGTCCCAGGGGCCAGGATAAGCCACTTTCTTCCTGTGCCAGCGCCATCCCCAGGCCTGGAAGCAGCAGACCCAGCTGGCACCCACCGCTCAGCCTGGGGGTACGTTCCCTGGTCTCACATAGCCTCACCGGCCCACCTGTGACATGGGAAGGCTGTGATCTGTCTCTCATGGGGTTGCTCAAGGACGGCAGGAACCCAGGTCCCAGCAGCCTGGGGGCCCTGCTGTTAGCTTTACAAGCTCCCTGGGGCTGGGTTTCCCCACCCATGCCAGCCTGGGGAGTGAGCTGTTCCCACCCTGTTTACCCACCAGTACTCTGGGGTGCGGCCTGGGCAGGGCAGCAGCTCCAGGAAGGAAGTACAGCTGCCTAAGGGTCACCAGCTGCCTCTGCGGGGCTGGATTGTCGGGTCCCTGGGCACTGATGCAGGTGTGACACAGGGTCCCAAAGGGGATGGCAAAGCTCAGACTGTCCCCCACCCATTTGATCTGCCTAGGAAGGGACTAGCCCCTGGCCTGTGCCTGGAGATCCTGGGGCAAGGGGCGGGGCAGGCTCCGTTTCTGCGGCCCTGGAGGAGGGTCCCCTCTGGTATCCAGGCTATGGTTTCTCCTGCCAACCAGCTTCCCCTGACAGCGGGGAGAGCTGGCCCCGGGAGCCCATGCCCCAGCAGGCCTGGCAGCAGCTGTTTTCTGCAGGCTTTCCCTGGGTTCCTGGTGCCTTCAGCCCAGTCAGTCCACAACCCCGTGTGGTCAGCTGCCATGTTCCCCAGCCCTAGCGGGGTTGCCCCCTCCCTCTGGCTGTTGTAGTCAGTGTCCTCTGGTAGGGACACGTCTGCTCCCTGGAGGGGCCTTCCCCTTTGCCAGTATCCCCGCATTTGAGGCCCTTTCATGAGGTGCAGTGGGTCCCGGTTGCCCCAACGGCAAGGGGCCGTAAGTGCTGGCCCGGAAGCTCAGGGTGCCCGCACCAGCAGGTGTGTGTCCCAGCGTGGCGTGCGCTGGCGTGAGTGTGTACACATGGATGTGCTTGTGTGAGCACACACGGTGGTTCTCCGAATGCTCATCCTGTGTTGAAGGCCCACAAGGTGCTCATGGGAGGTGATGAGCCAGCTGCTGTTTCGGGTTGCAGAGGCCAGTCCTGGCTGTGAGGCCAGGGGACTTGGAGACACCAGCCTAGAACCCCGAGTGGGGTGGCAGCCGGCTCTGGGCAAAGGCTGTTCTCCCGCCCCTGAGCTCTGTCCGGCAAGCCTTTTGCGTAAGTGAATGTCGTTGGATCGGGTGGCCCCACTGTGGCCCGGCTCACAGACAGTGTGTAAAGGAGCCTGGGGGCCGTGCTGTGTGTGGGTAAAACTCCTCACAAATGCTGGAGGGGGCGGGTGTGGCCCGCTGGGCCCGGGGTGCACGGGGTCTGTGCTCCTTGGTCCTGGCACCGACAGCTGGTGAGGGGCCGCCTGGGACCGGCCTCAGTGCATTATGGCCTGGGGCCCGTGTGCCAGGCCTGGGGCTCTCCTTTCCCATGTCTGTTTCCACGAAAGTCAGCCCATCAGAGATGGAGGCAGCAAAGCACCTGCTTCCCACGGCTGCCGCGGGGCCCTGGGGGCCGGTGAGCACGGGACGCCCGCGCGCCAGGGATGCTCTTGCCGGCCTGTGGCTCCAGGCACCACAGCGGTGCCTGGCTGGAGGAGAATGGGATGCATGGGGCTCGCCCTGGCCACCCCACCACGGAGCAGAAGCCCCGCCCCATGTTCACCCCCGACAGGGCCCCAGGCCACCGTTGCGCCCTCCCTGCGAGTCACAGCGCCGTCTTGCGTTTCTGTCCCTTTCCCTCCATCAGCTTCTTTCTTTCTGTTTTAGCTAAAGCAGTCTTGAAAACTGCATTTCGTTCGTTACGTGTTACACCACGTGCTCACTGTCGAAACACGTGGACCCTGTGGACGTGCCTTCCGTGGTGTGTGGTAACATCAGTGTTCTCAGAACTGTTTTCCTGACTCACGGACAGCAGCTTGCTGGACAGGACGGGGTTTGGGGACGTCGGCTGCATTTGGGCCTCGAGAAGGACGGGGCAGCCGGGCGTCTGTGCAGCGACGTGGCCTGCACTCTAGGACGTGGTCACTGCCAGCTTCTGACGATGAATCCCCCAAAGCCACGCACAGTGCTGGGCCCTGCCCGTTAAATACAGGCTGCCTGGCCCAGCACGTCGCAGGATGAGAAGTCCTTTAGCTGGGATGGGTGTCCTGGCTGTGGCAGCCCCAGGGTGCTGGCTGCTGCATTTTGGCCTTAACTGTGGCTCCCCCAGCAGTGAGTGGCTGCCCCTGCCCCTTGTGCTCCTTTCCCTATGGATCCTGTGGCCCACCAGGGGAGGGCCTGAGGGTGCCAGGTGAGCAAGGAGGGCCTTCTAGGTTGTGTGGGCAAATGTGGATGAGGACTCTCTCGGGGTTCACTGGAAGCATCGGGGCAACCTCCAGAGGGCTCAGCCCCAGGCCACGTGCAGGCCCACCCCAGATGCACGTCATGCGCCTGGAACCCTGGTCCTGCAGGACAGCTTTCTTCAGGGACTTGCATGTGGGGCTGAAGGGTTGCCTGATCCTCAGGGGGTCTTCCCCGAGTCCCCCAGCCCCTCGAAGAGGAGAGGAGGGAACGGATGAGCCTGTGAGCAAGGGGCCTGGGTTTTGGGGCCCAGCGCTGTGGGCCAGAAAACAGCCAGTCCCCTAACCAGGCCAGGTCAGCCTTCCTGAGAGCATTCCTGCTGGGGCCACATTTCCCCTGGGACCATGGACTGACATTCAGCCCCTCTGTGCCTCTCTCAGGCCAGGGAAGCAGCTGGCCTCAAGGCTACATGCCACGTGGCTTTGTAAGGCACATGCCTTGATCTGACATGTCCAACACTGGACATTCGTGGGGGCGTGGGCATCGGTGTGCGGTCCTGAATATGGCCCTGGCCTCAGGGCATGGCTCGCTGCCCAGACTTCCTGGAGCGAGGCTCCAGGGCCTTGGCTCCAAGGGCTGGGTGCAGGTGGCAGCTGTGCCAGCGTCCCTTCTCACTCTGGTTTCTCTCTCCCCGTTGCCAGGTCTGGCCTCTTTGGTCTGCCCGCCTCGGCTCCACTGCCCCAGATCGATGACGCCCCCACCAGCAACAGCCGTGGCCGGGCCCCCGAGGAGGGGGAAGCAGAGGTGATGCAGCTGGGGCCCGGCTCCCCGCCTCCTCCCCAAGGGGTCCAGTCCCCTGAGACAGCCGGCCCTGAGCCACCCCCGCCCCTCGTGCCGCCGCTGCCCGCCGGAAGCCTGCCCCCATACCCGCCGTACTTCGAAGGCGCCCCCTTCCCTCACCCGCTGTGGCTCCGGAACACGTACAAGCAGTGGGTGCCCCAGCCGCCGCCCAGGACCATCAAGCGCACCCGGCGGCGTCTGTCCCGCAACCGCGACCCGGGGCGCCTCATCCTGAGCACCATCCGCCTGCGGCCGCGCCAGGTGCTGTGTGAGAAGTGCAAGAGCACGCTGAGCCCCCCGGAGGCCAGCCCCGGACCCCCGGCCGCACCCAGGGCCCGCAGGAGGCTGGGCAGTGGCCCAGACAGGGAGCTCCGCAAGCTGGAGGAGCCGGAGAACAGTGACCCCGTGGCTGCAGCCACTGCCAGGAGGAGCAAGAGGGAGAGGCGGGAGGAGGACAGGGCCCCTGCTGAGCAGGTGCCACGCAGCCCGGTCATTAAGATCTCCTACAGCACGCCCCAGGGCAAGGGCGAGGTGGTCAAGATCCCCTCGCGTGTGCACGGCTCTCTGGAGCCCTTCTGCCCCCAGCAGGCCCCAGAGGATGAGGGCAGCCAGGACCCCGAGGGGCCAGACAGAGAGTCCCGGGAACGGCCGCCTGGCGCACCCTCGTCCTCCATCCCCAAGCTGAAACTGATGCGGCCTGTGCTGCCCAGCACGGACCTGCCGCCCCCCAAGATCCGCCTGAAGCCCCGCCGCCTGGGGGACAGGGAGCACGAACCCGTGTACCGTGCCGAGCTGGTGGAGGAGCTGAATGGGTGCCCACGGGCCAGCTCGCCCATGCCCTGTGCGGACGGCCCTGCCGCTGGGTTGGCAGACTTGTCTTCCGGAAGTTCGGGTGAGGACGACGACCTCAAGAGCTGTCCTCAAGGTCCACAGGGGCGCAGTGGCTTGGCTCTTCTTGTCAGCTGCCCGGAGGGGAGAGTAGACTGTGCCAGCGAGTTGGCATGCAGCAGCGACAGCCTGGACGAGGCCAGATCATCCGGCTCGGAAGGGACGCCAGCGGACGCGGGTGACCTGTCGCCCAGCCACAGCGCGTCGGCGCCCTCCTCGTCCAGAGAGGTTCGCCCAACGGTGCCACCCCTGACGGTGCGGCTGCACACGCAGAGCGTGTCGGAGTGCATCACAGAGGACGGCAGGACGGTGGCCGTGGGGGACATCGTGTGGGGTAAGATCCATGGTTTTCCTTGGTGGCCAGCGCGCGTTCTTGGCATCAGCCTTGGCCAGAAGGAGGATGGTGAGCCCTCTTGGCGAGAAGCGAAGGTCTCGTGGTTTGGTTCTCCGACTACGTCATTCTTGTCTATTTCAAAACTCTCCCCTTTCTCTGAATTTTTCAAACTGAGATTTAACCGTAAGAAGAAAGGGATGTATCGGAAAGCTATAACCGAGGCTGCCAATGCGGCGAGACACGTGGCCCCGGAAATCAGGGAGCTCTTAACCCAGTTTGAAACGTAACTGGTTCCCTGACCAGGTGAGTGTGCCAGCCCAGACTCACACATGTGTCCAGGCGCTGAGGCCCAGGGAGCCGCCGGGGGCCCCCGCCTCCTGGAAATTGTTGCCCTCGCTGGTAATGTCACCCACACTCCTGATTCACGCGAGGCGCATTACAAGGAGGCCAGTCACCACCTCTGCTTGTTCAAAGCACAAATCGAGTTTGTGTTTTGCAGCCGTTTTTCAAAGGTGTGCCAGAGGGGAGGTTCTCATGTGTGGGGGATGTGGTTTCACTGATCCTGGGGAGGGAGAGCCCAGGCCTGTCTTGCATGACTCGGGGGGCAAACCCTCACTGCTCTTCCCAGGATCACAGAGGCCCCTCTCCCTCCTGTTCACGGATCAGCCATCCAGGACATGAAATGAGGGAGGGCTAGGCCAGTTTCCTACCCTCAGATGAAGCCCCTGCCTCGGCTCCCAGACTGGCCTAGCCCTGGTCCCTCAGCCCCCCGAATCTTCCTTCTGGGCCAATGTGGACTCCATTGTCAGCGGCTGTGCATGGCCAGGCGCCCGGGGCCTGGGACATGTGTGGGGGCCTGTTCCTGGGGACAATGTCTCCCTCTTGGCCTCTCCCAAGAGCGCTTGGTAGAATCTCCAGTCAGGCCTTGTGTGGATTTTCTATGCTGTGTGGAGGTGTAGAGGTGTCACGTCGTGGGGCCACGGGCACCGCCTATGACCCTGTGGTCACTATGTGGGGCATCCGGGGCCTGCCGAGGGGCGGGGTTCTGCCCTGAGCCCCTCGAGGGCTGGCTGGCATCTGAAAGCCGCTCTACCAGCACCTCCAGATGCCCCTCCTGCCTCCCCAGGGGGTTCTGGGCTAGCTGTGGGGAGTCCCCTCCAGGCGGGGGCAGCTGATGGCTCTCTGTGCACCTCTTCTTAGGGTGGCCTAATGGCCCCCTGGATGCAGAGATTCCAGGGCTGGGGGCTATATGCAGAGCGCAGGGGCAGGGCCTCTGCCTAGGCCTGGGTGACGGCTGGTGACCTTGTCTGCCCTGGCCGCCTGCCCAGAGGCCCTGCCGTTTCCCAGGTGACAATCCTCTGGCCTTAGCCTTTGGTGGGGGTGGCTGAGTGCCCTCCACTGCTGTGCCCTGCGTATTGGGGTTCCGGGGTGAATGCAGCGATGAGAGGCCACTGTCATCAAGCCAGGGTCCCCAGGCTGCCCGGCTGTTCAGGCACAAACGTGGCTGCTCCCCCTGCCCCAGGAACCAGGCCCTTTTCTGGTCAGTTCTGGAGCCTTTGGGCAGGGGTGGGGCAGGCGCTGTGCTCGGGAGTGCGGGCGGGGGCCACCTCTTGGCTTGAGTCTGGGGGAGTGTCTCAAGCTGGGGCACTGTCCTCTGAGGGGTCGGAGGAAGGTCAGAGGACTCGCGTCTGCTGTCCTGGGGGGCCCTCCCCGAGTTCTGGACTCAGGCATTTACCGGGCTGTGTGCCCCACCCAGGTCTGCAAGTGAGGCCAGAGGCCTTGGCTGGCTGGGAGCCCGTGGCGGAGGACACAGCCTTGCAGGCTCAGGGCCGGCTGTGTTTATCCGGAAGTGGAGAAAAATCTCACCAGACGGGTTTGCCCGCCTCTGCGGGGGGCAGTGCCTGCCCCAGGGCTGCTGCTCCCTGGGCCTGTGCCAGGACCAGCCCCCTGCTCTGGGAGTGAGGGTGCCAGATCCTTTCAGCGCCGAAGCGCAGAGTGGCATGTGCTTGGTTGGCTTTCTGGTTTTGTTTCCTAAGGGTTAAAGACCAGTTGCTCAGTGTGATCAGAGCTGGCATCTTGAGGGGCGTGGCATATCCCGCCCTGTGTGGCGTTGGTGGTCTCCGGGGCACATGTTTGCTTTGAAGCGTCAGCAGTGCACTCTGGCCTGCTCTTTGTAGGGGTAATGCAGGAGACCTGCCTTCCCTGGGAGGGGGGACCCGCCAGCACCATCCTGAAGGTGCACTTCTCTGAGCAGAGGCTGAAAGAGGCGTGGGGCGGGGGTGGCCATGCCCGAGGGAGGAGCAGGAGGAGGAGGCAGGCATGGGGGCTGGAGCTCAAGCAGGGAGGCCTGCCGGGGAAGGTCGTCCTCCTGGTCCCCGCCCACTGGCCACCCTGACCTGCCCCAGCAGCTTCCTGAGGTTTGTGGGTGTCTGTGCCACCCAGCACCTGTCAGGGGGTGGTCGCTGCAGGCACAGCCAGGTCTGCCCTGTTGCAGGATGATGAGCTCAGCGTCTCCCCCTGAGAGACTCCTCACTGTCGCTTGTTGGGGGTGCTGGAGGCTCAGCTGAGGGAAAGGTGGACACCCCACAAACCACAGGGTGCTAGGCACTGGGCCGTGGCCGGTGGTGCTAAGAGGTGGCCTGGCTGGCACAAGGGCTGAGCACATCAGCCTGATCAGGGGCCGCCCCAGGACGCGCCCTGCTGTGTGGCACACTTGAGCACCCCTCCGTGTGAGGTCCTGACCCAGGCGTGCCGAGGCTGGGCCGGGCTCCCGTGCGGGAATAGAGGCTGTTGGGCCTTGTCCCGGCTGGTCACCTGCTGTTTCGGCCTCAGCAAGCCAACACCTCTGAGCCTGTTTGTTCAGCCCTCTCGGGGTAGCAGCAGGTCCCGCCTCTGAGTGAGCGGCATGTGTGCCCTGGGTGGTCATGGCCGGCTCCAGGGGCCTGAGAGTGGCCTGTGGCCACTGTGCCCTCAGGCTGGCAGGAGAGGCTGTTCCCTGGGAATTCTGCACCCACAGGGACCCCCAGGTCCGGGGTGGGGGCAGGCGATGGGGACCGGGCTCCAGGGCTGCTGTGCCTGGGAGCAGCCTCTGCCCAGGGACCCAGCAGGAGCTGTCTGGCCAGGCTTGTCCTGCAGCAGGGAATGCGGACCTGGAGAAGGCAATGCCTGCCCACACCCCCACCCCGGGGCCACTGAGCCTGAGAGGCGAAAGCAGCTCTCCTGTGTGAGCCCCGGGGCCTCAGGCTGGGGTCCTGCCCCCATCCAGGCTCAAGGGTCTCTCTCTGCTTTCCTGGTCTCTTTCTCACTACCCACCCACCCCTCTGCTGAGGGCCAAGCACTCCACTGGACCCAGGCTAGAAGGGGGGGCCGAATAGGGAGGGCTGTGAATCACCAGTTCCCAAATTAGTGCATAATCACACACAGGAACTGCTGAGAAGGAAGGGAAGAGGGCCTTGAAGCAGAGCGTCCAGCGAGAAACCTGGCCTGGACTGGGATCTGGGAAGGCTTCCTGGCGGAGGTGGCGGGAGCCAGGATCTGAATGGTGAGCTAATCAGGAGATGATGGGGTGAGGGTGGGGTGAGCATTCTAGGCAGGAGGAGGGCAGGGCATGTTCCAGCGGCTGGGGAGGTGGGCAGAGGCGGACTAAGGGCCTGGGGGGCAAGGCACGGACATGGTGCTGCCGGAGAGTTACAGACAGAGGAGTGACGTGGTCTTGTTATTGTCAATGAAACTTTAAAAAACATCTGATGGCTTTAAAAATAAAAGAAATGAATGACTCCCAGCTGTGGGTACAGGGAGAGCGATGGGGATGGTGGGGGGCTGGGCGGGTGTCCAGGCGTGGCTCCATCCTCAGGGTAGCTTCAGTTCTTGGGAGGTGCCTGAGGCCTGGCTGGAGGCATCTCAGGTGAAAGGTCAGAGGCGGCTCAGGCAAGGGGCTGGGGACAGGGACCTGTAGTCTGGGGGAACCTGGGCCCGGCCAATGCCATGGGACAGAGAGCAGGAAGGGGGCTTCACAGAATGGACACTCGAGGCACAGGCTTCAGAGCAGCAGAGGCAGGTGGAGGTGACAGGGGACCAGACACGTGCGCTGCGTGGGAGCAGGAAGGAGGGTGGCAGGGAGTGGGTGGCACCAGCCAGCCCCGTGGGGAGGACTTGAGGGGTTCAGAGCCTTGCCCTCCCTGCACCACAGCAGTGGGGGCGTCATGCCCATAGAGGTGGGGGCTGCCTGGTGTCCTGGGAGCTGTGAGGGACAATGGGGGGCCCCCGGTCCTGGGAGCTCTGAGGCCGACGGGGGCTTCTGGTCCTGCACAGGCACCTTGTGTGCTGGCCTGGTGTGGCCGGGGCTCTGTGCTCCGCTGACACGGGGACTGGAGGCTGACACCTCCGTCAAGTGGGGACTCAGTGATCTCCTGGTGTCCCGGCCTCTTGGGCAAGGGCGAGATTTCACAGGCTCCGGGACAGTGCAGGCTGGAGGGGTCCAGCGTCCTGTGGCCCCGGAGGCCCAGCCCTTTCCCCTCCTGCTCTGGTGGGGGACTTTCGGGGCCATACCCTGCACGGCCTCCGTCAGCAGCCGGGAGCACAGGGTTCCTGTGCCACTGAACGGTCAGTGCCCCTGGGGTCGCCCCTGTCTTTCGTGTTTCCTGTAGCTGCTGTAACTTCCACACGCTGGGTCCCTGAGACCACGGACGCTTATTCCCACGCCTCTGGGGGTCGGGAGCTTGCATCAAGGCCTGCAGGGCTGTGCGCCTTCAGCTCCGGCGAGGATCTTGCCTCTGCACCTCCTGGGGGTCCAGGCACCCCCTTCTCATGGCCATATCACCCCACGCTCTGCACAAGGCCTCTGCCTCTTGGAAGTGCCTGGGTGGCATCTGGGGACCGGTAGATAACGCGGGCGGGGCTGCTCACCTCGAAGCCCTCGTTTAAGCGCAAACATGACGCCGCCGGCGGTGGCGTTCCCAGGTCGACTCCGTGTCCCCAGTGCTGTGTGGGCAGCTTGGGCACAGCCCAGGGTCCACCCCAGCCTCACACCCGACAAGGGAAGGCCCCAGGCAGTGGTGGCGGGATGGGCCTCAGCCCCAGGTCGGTGGGGCGAGGGAGGGGCCCGTCGCTCCGGAAGGGTCCGAGGCGCGCAGGCCACTTCCGACCCGAAGCTTCATCGTGTTGACTTCTGCTGGGAAATAAGGACAATAATCAGGACGCTGCCTGGCACCCGGAGTGCTGAGTCGGCAGAGCCGCCGCCGGGACGTGGACGAGTGTGGTGCTTGCTGGAGTCTCCCGGACGGAAGCGGCCTCGGCTTTTCTGA